TTCATTCAAAATAATTTCTGTATGATTAGTAATAAATTCAAAAATAATGATTTTTCCAAAATTATTAGAATATATGCTAGTATTATCGATTTTATTAATTGACATAATTTTATAAAGAAAAGAAGTTCCCAAAATAATATGTTGAGTTAAATTTTTAACTAATAGAAAACGAGTATTAATGCAAGTATTATTTTTGCAAAATATTTAATTTTCATTTTATTTGCAAACGCAGAAGTTCGCTGCTGCCTAGTTTAAGTAAAATATTTGGAAGATATTATTCCTTCTTGAATATAGTTCATATCTGCTCCACTATCAATAAGACCAGTAAGATTAAATAAAGTATATTCTCGATTTATATTTAAAGTAATAGTTATAAATCATTTATGCATAATAACTTTTTGTAAGTAATTTAAAAAAGATTGTTCTAAATTTTTATCCTTTTCTACTGATATTTTAGTAGTTGTATTATTTAATTCTAATTTTAGTAATCAAGTATTTATTTTTTCTTGATTTTTTCAAAAAATATTTATCTCAGATTTTAAAATATTAATTTCATTTTTTAAATCATTTATAGTAGTAGGTATACTATCAATATTTAAAATTAAAGCTTTATTTAAAACTTCTTTCATTGAATATCCTTGAAAATGAATAGTATTAGAAGAGGATGATTCTCCTCTAGATTCAATTATTATTTTAAACATTTTATTTCGAATCTTTTCATCTTCAATTTGAGATGCAATTTTAAGTATTTCTTCTTTCATTAAAGAAAATAAAGTAAATTAGCCTTTCATTTCGATTATAGATTTGTAATAATTTTCATTATTATATTTACACTCAGATTCTGTGCAATTATTTTCATCAAATTCTGATTAATAAAAGGAATTGCCCTCAATTTCGTCTGAATTGTCAGGCGTCTCCGAATCTTCAGGAGATGAATTTAATATAATTTTGAAAATAGATTGCTTAATAATTTCATCAGTATTAAGCTCATTTATTTTCTTTTTTACTATGCATTTATTTGCATAGTGGTTAGTTTTGCCATATTTGTAGCATTTTATTTCTTTGATTTTTTTATTTTTGTTTTTCTTATGAGAAATCTTTGGACTTTTCTCTGAATAATATTTTTCAGAGTGCTTATGATATTTCTTATTTTTGCGAAAGAATTTTTCTTTTTCTTTTGAAAATCTAGGAATATCATAAGTAAATTGTTCACAAAAAACGCCTAATTGCTTTCTTTCTGTCAATTTTTCTTTTTTAATTTGATATCTCAATTTGAGATCTGTACATAAGGCTGAGCCTTCTTGTACACAAGTATTTATCGATTGTCCCTATGTTAGATTTTCATATTGAATACGTTTAATATTAATATCTTGTAATTGTCTTTTTACTTTATCAGCAAAAAGATTAGGTAAACCTTCAATAAATTTTTGCTTCCAGTGCGTACTATTCGCATCTGGTAGAGACATTACTCTAATTAAAAAGACATCTTTATGCCAACGAAAATGTGTCAAACTAGGACATCTTAATTTTTATAAAAGAAAACGAATTTGTTCTCCATTATCGGATACTATACCGGTAAAATGCTGTAAAGTATTGATAATTAATTTATAAACAGCATCAGTATTTTCTTGATTAGGATTTCCTATTATTGTAGGACTTAAAATTTCTTCTCTTTGTTCTTGATTTAAATAATTATCCCATCAGCCTTTGAGAAGACCAGTAAACCCACATGTTAACTGAGTTACAATTTGATGGTCTCGATTATTATAACTTCTTGCTGTAGAGGCATAAATCATCATTCTTTGTAATACGATTTGTATGTGACGATCATTTATACCATCAATACCTCATTCATAAATATTTGATGGGTTATAATCATTTTAATATTTATTATTATCTTCTTCATACAAAACATTTGTAGGGGTAGGTCGAGGATAGTGGTAACGACCGGTCTGCCTTGTTTGATACGAAGATGAGGCTCTATTACCTTTTATTTTATGTATTTTAAATAATTCTAGTTCTGAATTATTAATTATTATCTTTAAATTATTTATTTTTCAATGTATTTTATTTTTATTTTATCATTATCAAAATTTTTTGATTGATCAATTAATTGATCATCTTTATTTAAGATTGTTATATTAGTGCTTTTTATATTTTTAATTAATTCTTCAAAATCTTGAGTCGATGGTCCTAGGTGGAAATCAGGATGTAGAACAAGTTAGCCAAGATGCTAACAGAGATGTTGTTATAAGATTCAATTCAAGAAGATCCATTACTCTTCTAAGGATATCTTATCTCTCTTCTAATATATCTCAAAATGATTCAGATGAATTATCAACAATAAATCATAATAAATGATGAATTATCAACAATAAATCATAGGATAGATAGAATAAATCTATCAAATAATAATTTATTACACCCAAATATGGTAGAAAACCTATCTCGGCAATCGGCAGCTAGTTTTAATTTCAATAATGACTGATTTAAAAAAATTTGCTAAAAAATAAATTAGACAAACTTTAATCAACGATTATCTGGAACCAAAATATGAATCATTTAGAAATTGATATCGTAGTTATACCACAGAAGATGATAGAAAAAAAATCTCTGAAATTTATTTTAGTATCAGAGTCAAATCTTGTTGATAAATAAAGTCATTAATTTTAATATTTTAGCATCAGCTAAATTTTTTCAATTATATATATATATATATATATGTATGTTTAATTAAAAAAATAAAATGAAAAATATTTAAATTTATATGTAAATGATATTTTAATATAAATAATAAGATTTAAATTTCACCTCAACTCTTAACATTCTATGGTTGTGTGTCTAGGGTTGTCAAAATGTTTCTTTGTTCGCAAAGAGCTCGTGTCGGCTCGTTTAACCTCTAAACATGACTTCCTTGTGCTCCTATTATTTTCTTTTTCAAATGCCAAGAAGGTTGGAAAATTAGGGATATGACTTTCTTTTACTCTTTTTATTTTCTTCTTGTTTTTTTAGTAATTCTTGTACATTAATGAGAAAACTGAACCAAAAGTATTATTTTTGCATATAATTAGCTGGTTTAATTAAACTAGGATTTTTTATTTTTCTTTCACTTATTGTTTGATTGCAAGTATTTATAGTTGAGCGGTAATTTAAATGCAAGATAAAGTTGGTACAATATTTGGAATTCATGTGATCACTTTTTGTTTATTCTGAACTAAGGGCCCATTGTATCACTTTTTTTTTTTGTTTTTTTTACTTTTGCTTTTGAAAAAATATTTGATTAGCATAATTTTTGAATGTTTTTGGTTTTTTTTTGTTTTTAAAAAGAAATCACCTCAGTTTTTAATATACTCAAAACGTCTAAAATATGTTTGAGTGTTTTTAAAAACTACCACACCCAAATTTTAATTCTTATGTAGCAACGACAATTCTAAAATGTGTTGTACCTATGTCGGACATGTATCAGACACCAACACTTGTCTGACACGCTCTAACACTTCTTGAACACTACAAAATATACGTTTGAATTTTTTTTAGGCTTGAACACGTCCGAGACACATCCCAACACCACATTAGGCATGAGCTTAACGCGATTTCGAGAAAATGGGACACATATTAGAAAATTATAAATATACGTATAGTCTTATTTTTATCTCATAGTTGAAACCACCTCATCTCTCGTTATGTTGAAGCTCACTCTAATACTCGTCAAAATCAAGCATCAAATGTGCATCCAATATTCGTCGAAGTCGAACATTTGTAATTCTCTCTTTGTAATCATACAATTTTTAAAGTTTTAGTAATTAAATTGGATTATAAGTTGGATGAATTCTTTTAGAACATATTATATCTAATTTTAAAAATTAATTTTTATAAGTACGACGTTTTATAATATAAATTAAATTTATGAAGTTAAATTTTATGATTGCATAATTTGTGTTGTGATATTTTTAATAAAGAATAATAGAAAAATATATATTTTTATATTAATAATTAATTAAATATAAGAACGTGTCCATTACGTGTCCTGTCTTATTTTTTTTAATTATGTCGTGTCCCCGTATCATGTCGTGTCCTTTTTTTTTTTTAATTATGTCGTGTTTGCATATCATATCGTGTTCATGTCCCCGCATCCGTGTTGGCGCTTCATTGTTTAATTCAAATTAAAACATAAACAAAATAAAATACAAGTAAAAATTAGAAAACAAAAAAAACATAAGAAATTCCAAACGGGACCTAAGAAAATGAATTAAAAATTTAAAATAATAATAAACCAACTTGGGCAATTATGCTGAACATTGTCTAATGGAGATATTCCAATGCCCGTCTCCATTTGTTTTACATTTAAGTACTAGAAATCTCAAAAGTCTTGCATTTGTATTATAGCACACTAGTAATATTTGCAACCAAACAATCCCCTTTTCGTAAGGACTTTAGTAAAACAGTACATAGGGCTGTTTGGCTAAATGATTTAGTAAATCTTGTAAAAATAGGATTAGTAAATTCGGGAGATGTTAAATCTTGAAAAATTATTTTTCATGATAGATGTTGAATTGGGTTAAATTCTATCAAAATTTGTTAGAGATTTTTAAAATTGGAGATTTAAATTAAGGAGAAGAAGAGGTACAATGAAGAGAAGTTGTCTAAATATCTTCAATTTTACTTTTCTAAGGATTTATTAAATTTGGGATTTAGCCAAAAATGGAGTGACTTGATTTAAGAAGACAGCAGGATTTATGCGGCTTAAGAACCCGTTTGACAAAATTTTACTTAAATCCTGGCTAAATACTACAACCAACCAACCCCTAATATTTATAAACTTATGATAGCTTTCTTATTTTTATTCTATTAGCTTGAGTGACATTCACACGCAGAGTCTCCTAGGTTATTCCTCAATTATTGATAGTGGTAAACATATTTTTTTTCTTTTGTCTTTCTTGCATATGTTTTCACATTTTCATGCACCATAACACTCCTTTCTCTTATTTTTTTATCCCTAGGCATGAAGATCAAGACAAATACGCCAATAGCGAAGAAGGCGAGGGAGGGAGTGATGGAGTTCCTGTTGATGAACCATCCGTTAGATTGCCCCATTTGTGATCAGGGAGGGGAATGCGACTTGCAGGACCAGTCGATGGCATTTGGCTCAGACCGTGGTCGTTTTACAGAGATGAAGAGGTCCGTGGTTGATAAGAACCTTGGACCATTGGTTAAGACGGTGATGACTCGATGCATCCAGTGCACAAGGTAATTATTTTCTCTTTTAGGCTTGGGTCTTTTTGTCTTGCGATCCAAAACTTGTGCTTTTTTTGGTTTTTAGTTGTTGTACATACAATTAGATTTCAAATTATTCCTTCTTGGGGCTGCTAGGATTTCAACCTCAATAAACATTTGTGTAAAGGGATTCAAAGTCAGCTTTGATATTAAGTAGAAAAACTCTTAAGGTGGTGTAAAAGATTTTCCTTTGCTTAAATGCCTTGTTTTTCTTTTTGTTTGTGAAGCTTTTCATTATAAATTTTGTGTTTGTTGCCACCTCTTGCTTTTGATATGAAATTCTTATGTTCTCCTTGGTCTTTCTCTTTTTGCCTTTCCATTTCTCTTGCTCTCATCAATTCTCATCAAGTTGCTGGAATTTCTTAGCCAATGCCGATGGGAATTGGCTTGCTTTTTTTACACTGTTTAAAGAACTATCCTATGTTTCTTTTTGGTATATCTAGCCATGTACCTCCTCAAAATTTTGATCGATTTCAACTTTCACTTCAAGGGGCTTGCACTTTGAATTTCTCTTTGAAATTTCTGATTTATCTATTCTTAGCTTATTTTCTAATGATTTTTAAATCATGGGCGCATAAATTTAAATAGGTCTACCAGGGATTATCTTTTAAGAAATCTTACTCATGATATTTTATTTATATTTTATTAAAGTTTTAGCTGATTCTATTTTATGTTGACTTTTCATGGGTCTATTGGTCTTAGATGGCAGCATTTTAGATGCTATTTTATTTGCCTTATCAGGGCAATTTGGATTCTTTTATTATAATCCGGTTTTGCACTATGCTCCCAACATTGATGTGAATGAGCTTATGACCCAATAAATAGCCACTAAATCAATACCGTGACACAATAATAGTGTTTTCTTAGACAAGTTATAAAATTTTTCATCACTATCTCTTACAGGTGTGTCAGATTTGCTTCTGAGGTTGCTGGCGTGCAGGACCTTGGCATGCTAGGCCGTGGCAGTGGAGAAGAAATTGGAACATATGTGGAGAAACTTATGACAAGTGAGCTTTCTGGAAATGTTATAGATATATGTCCCGTTGGTGCTCTTACTTCAAAGCCATTTGCCTTCAAAGCTAGAAATTGGGAATTAAAGGGCACAGAGAGCATAGATGTTACTGATGCGGTGGGATCTAATATAAGAATAGATAGTAGAGGACCAGAAGTCATGCGCATTCTTCCACGCTTGAATGAGGTTTTACTCATCTCTTAAGTCTTTTATTTGAAAATAATTAACATGTATCAGTTATTTGATTATCCTCCTAGTTTTCTATTCTGGTTTGATTTGTAAGTGCATATTGATGTTGAGCAAAATTTGATTTTCTAGTAATGGTTGTTTCAGAACTAGATTGACGGAATATATAGCAAATTAATTTTGTTGGGGAGAGGAATAATTCTTGAAATATCGACTGAATCTATTCCTACTTTAATTTTATGACATCCTCTTCTTTAAAATTTACCTACCATCACTAGATTAAGAGATTTGGTATCTCTTAAGGGCTATTGTGTGAATATTATTGTATTGTTTTGAAGAGAATAAGTTTAGCATCGAGGTTGAGGTTATTATTTTTGTAGCTAGTTATTTTAAACGAGGAATTTTCATTGGGGTGCAGGAAGTGATGCCTATGCTTGCCCCTGGAAGTAAAGTTCCTCGTCTAATTTTATGTGGAAAAGTGTGGGTTTGATGGTCTATGCATTTTTCTTTATGAGGGAAAGCCATGACTTCTAGAATTGAAATTCAATATTTATGTGTCGTTTTTTCTCGTACCTGTGAGTTTGTGTTTGGTGTGGATGGCATTTGTGATAACTTTCCACGGGCCATCTCTCAGCCACCAACTGCAAACTTCATCTAAATGTTGTGCTTTCCAAATTTGTAAAGGGTATTGTATGTTTTCATAAGAAATACAAATTACTACATGAGGTGAACTAATTAAAAATGGGAGGGTGTGATACACTTTTGCTTACTTTGATTTTTATTGATCTATCTCATTAAGTGTTTAGTTGACTTTAATTTAAATGTGTTCCTTTGAGGAGTATATCATTTCCCAAAAGTTAAAATTGGAAGTTTGAATAACTACTGTGGGCATTGCCTGTACTTTGAACTAAAATGTTTTGGATAAACTACTTGTTGTCCAACTTTATTTTTTTTTGCTTTAGATCCACATTCCTTGGATGTATTGATCGAACTTTCTAGCCTTTTAACCTTGAAAATCTGAGAATCATTGATTTTTTTTAGATTTTGACCTTGCAATTGTCAAAAGAACTATTTTTGTTTTTATTCTATGATTATGTTACAGTCATTTTGTTGTCTTATGTTTGACTTTTTTTTTTGTTTTTAAAATTCTTCATGAAAATATTTGTACTTTATACGCCATGCTTAGATTTAGTGGATTCTTAAAATTTTCTAGGAATTTATGGTTGACAATTTAACACCAAAACCTTGACATTATTGGGTTGCCAATTCTTCAAGTCATCTTTGGCGGTTTTGCAATGGGGCATTCTTTCCCTTTATTACTTGCTCCAACTACAATTCCACATGCCAGTTCCTTCTACCATTATAAGGAACTTAGTGAAGAAAAAGCCGATATCTAAACTTTAAATGGCTTAACCATTTTTGTTGTATGCCATACCGTATCTATTTTGGTAAGATTTTATAGATTCTCCACTATTCATTCTAGCTTTGTGCTATGGAAGATTTTAACTTTATTTCTTGGAAAATATTTTGCATAACTTCAAGTTATATTACTTTATAAGTGCTTATTTTTTCATTAATCCTTTCATATTAATATTCTTTGCATAGTTGCCATAACAACTTCCCTCAATTGTTCATGCCTATACCATCCGGTTTTTTTCCGCTAACTTATGTTAAATTATTCTCTCTTTAGTCAACTGAATATAATCATTGTTTATTTAATCGTTCTTAGATTAACACACATCAGGCTTATGATTCATTTTTCTACTGCACTAAGTTTGGTTTTGGTATTTTTCCTACAATTTTACGTGATCCGAAGTTCCAAAACCTAATTTGCTAAAGCATATTCCATCTGTTTGCAATTTTATATTATTTTTCTTCAAATTTCAACTATATTCTCTTCAGATCTGTGACACTTTTTTCTTTTTAATCATCTAAATTAACTCTATATGTATGTTCTTATCCATATTCACTTGATCCCCTAGTATTACGAAGTAATTATTATTTTCTTGCCCTCCAATAAAATTGAATATAATATACCCATTTGTCATTATTGTAATTGTAAACTATTTTCTCTTAGTGATTTTTCCATTCTTTCTAACCTTATCCTTAAAAATAGTTGTCTTCCATTAGATATCTATTATCAAAAAATATTATAGACTAAGGTGTCCCTATATGAATATTCTTTGTAAACATCTTCGAAACCGATACGAAAGTATAAGCAATCACTAATTATATGGTGTAATCCTACTGCAATTAAAATTTTTTTCATTATTGATAAATATCTCTCTCTTTAACCACTTAATCATCTCACGAAGTGCTTATTGATTTGCCTTTTATGTTAAATCAATACCATATATTGATCCCTTTATTTTCTTTATACTATTCCATTATTGCCTGAAGTGCAAAATTTTTCTTTTTAATAGGTCTGTTGGGCATAAAATCAAATTGATTCTTCACTATAGACATGTTATTATCTTATCTAATCCTCTCTTTTATATGCATTTTATGACTCTTAAATTTAATTCCTCCATACAATTACCATAATTTTGAAGTTCTCTTTTATTCTTGATATCTTTTATGAAAATACTTCTTGTCCAATCTTTTTCATTCTCTTAGTCTTGTAGATTTCCTCTATAATTATCATCTTTTATATTGAAAATTAGATGACGTCAAAGTCAATAACTGAATTTCTAAGATATGGTTGAAGCACTTGCCAAAACACATAAAAGTGCTAAATAGCATTGGTCAAGCCATAAAGAAAAATGGCCAATCACGGGGGCTATGGCAATACTTAATACATAGATAATCTTCCATAGAAGCTTGAAATCCATGAAAATTTCAAATTGATAGTCTTGATTGAATATTGTCAGGGTGGATATACAATTTTTCTTGACAGAGCATTCCAAAATCTTGTAGATGGTCTCTATGATTATTATCTGTTATATTGAAAATTAGATGCTGTCAAAGTAAACAACTATATTTCTAAGAAATGCTTGAAGCACTTGCTATGGTTCACATATAGGTGATAGGAGCATCGGTCAAGCCATGAAGCAAAATGGTCAATCTCAGGGACCATCCTTCATTTTGAAGGCAATTTTCTAGCCATTAGCCTTATGTATGCTGATTTGGTGATACTCAACGATCAATCTTTAAAAAGATCACTGCACTGACCATCATATCTAACATGTTGCCAAGTCTGGGTATATGAAGTCTATATGTGATTGTAATTTTATTGATGACATGTTTGTCCACACATGTATGCTATGTTCCATTCTTCTTTAAGCTACAAAGAGTAGGAATAGCTTGAGTGAAACATTTTTTTAAATAGATCATTGACTTGGTGCTTGAGCTCGACATACTTAGATGAGGTCATTTGATAATGTGGCAAGTTGGGAAGAGTTGTTTTGGGCACTAATTCATTGACTTTTTTGGATCTCTTTAGAGCAAGGAGATCATTTAGTAGTTTATTAGGGAAAAAATCTTGGAACTTTGTAATGATTTTGCTAATTTTATGGTAAAGTGACACCTTTCCAGGATTCCTAATAATTGTTTAAAGATCAGATTTAGTTGGGAGAGATTGTGGAATAGTAAGAGAAAAAGGATATGCAAAGTTGGCGGGGTTTGGAAGGAGGATTAAAGGAATTTGGAAGCTATCTGGGATTTTAGCGAGGTGCGGTTATTGAGGGAGAATTCAACACCTCTTATCTTTAACATACATATTCACCACTCGAAGAAAAACATGCTATAAATGTTCAAATAAAAGAAAATAGAGAAACATCTTTAAATAAAAGAAACCAAAGCAAAAGTGTTCCCACCGGGTTCTAACACAACTTAAGACATAATTAAACCTGGATGGAAATTAAAATATAGTAAATAGGGGTCCACATGACCTAATATTCCCGTAGCAGGCGGAGATTTTCTCTCCTCGAATCTCGCTGGACAGGATTTCGATTTTGATCCCACATACTTGGGATTGAGGTTTTCACTCCCAAGTCATAAAAATGCTGAATCTTAGAACATTGCTTAGAGGTCTCTAGCATCTACGCTATACATAATACCATCTCTGCTTGTTCCCTCAAACTGATGTTGATGACTTACTTCAATATGTGGAGAGGTCTTTTGTCCTATATGAAATTTGCTCTGTTCAAGAGGATTCAACATGATTTTCTTGCCTTAAATTTGAAGACATAATGTTTTAATTGCCAAAACGTGTATCCAAGTATATAATCATGGCTTGCTTAAAACATGGGCAACATCTATATGCAAGAGATCACACTACATGTGATTAGTGTAAATGGCTAGCTATATAAGCATCAAGAATCACTAACGGTGGAGGCGGTGATTTTGTCAACCCATGCCACCTCATAAAGCTAGAGATGTGGCTCAATACCGAGCTTCGCATGAGACAACATGAAAATGGCGAAAATAATATTTATGCAACTTCCACAATTGATAATAAGCTTGCAATAGTTATCATTACACTTGAAATATGAATTATGGTTGTACGCTTCTAGTACGTGTCAAGTGTGGAGGTTAATTCATGGCAGTTAAATTTGTTCCCTTGAACACATCTTTGATATCATTAACACTGTTATGAAGATGACACTCACCATGCTCTTCTTAAGGCTCTCCTTACTAATTAGTAGTTCCATTCTCAACAATTTTCAGTTGGAGAAACTTTCGGAGGCAATTAAAAATATGGTGGTGAATTTTACAATTAATAAGACGAGTTACATTAGCATATGTGTAGCTATAAGCATTAGAAACATATTGTCCTCTAAGATTGGACGATTCGGAAGGAGTATATTTGCTTGGAAGCCTATAAGATAGGCTATTTCCAAATGAGGCAGAACATTTTCACTCACAAAATGGTTCAAGACACTAATTTTGTTGTAGAGCTTGCTAGAATACACCCTTAATGGTGCATATCTCATGAGCTGTTTCTTATGGATGAAACTTAAGACAATCATGGAGCCTTGTATTCGGTAGTCAATTCATTT